AGACTTCTCTTCGAGGCGATCTGCGACGAGGGCACATATCGTCAAGAATCTAACGACTGGCTTCCACGGTAAATCGATACCTGCCTCTCGATTCTCGTAGAGGGCAACATCGATGCGATTGCAGAACGAACAGGGACCGACTGGTAGGCAGAGAGAAAAGGAGGAACGCATCAAAGCGAAGGGAAGATGAAGAAGAAGAGGAAGAAGAGATAAGAATGCCGCGTAAGTATAGAGAGCATAATAATCAGAAGTAAATTGCGGATACGTGAGGCTACCGTGTTGTAGAGGGCCCGGAGGCCTCGATAACCCTTTCTGTCTCTCTGTTTCTTTCGTTCTTCTGTTATTCTACAAACGCGACCAACCTTGTACCTGCATGTTTCGTTTGTATTCGTACACGCAATAGCTTACAAAAATATCGGAATTCTTACATTTGCAACACTGTAACCTTATGTGAGCAAAAATATCCCTATGTACTCGATACCACGTTTCTTAAAATAAAAATTTATGTATAAGACAGTGTACAATAAAATATCCTAGCTACTCGATACTATATTAAATATTTAGTATACATTAAAATACTCCAGTCATCCACATCTGGATAAGTTAAACTACATACACTGTTTAAGATAACAAATACTGTAAAATGTATAGATGGGTATTAATAAAAATAAATGAATTTGAATCTACTGTTGTTCGAATACTTTGTGTGTGTACCTTGATGTACGTGCAGGTACGTAGCAGGACACGGATAGCATTATACGTATGATCAGAAATACCTAGCCTACCGGTAATCTAATTTGAATCCCGAAGCCCTTCGTTTCACCGGTAATGGAACACGTATCGAATAATATTACGAGCGATTCGATTCGATATCATTTGTAATTCCGGTCCCGAGACCGCAACGGGGTACGTTCGAAGAAGGTAGAAGGCCGTCTGTCGGTGGGTCTGATCAGTCGTGTGAACAACATATTTTATGCGTATTCCGGGTGGCACGGGGGATACAAGGGAACGAATATACCCGCAAAAACATTCGCCGACGTAACCCCCAGCAGACTCGCGAGTTCTTCGGGTAATGGAGATGATCAAATTCCGTGGGATTAGATCGGTCTTGTACGTGATAACACTGCACTCTTCAAATTATTTCAACCCTTTCATTTCGAATATTTGTAACCAACACGACGACCCGTTTGTACCATAAAATAATATGTTCGTTTTTATTACAAGCTTTGTCAGCAAGTCCTTTGCTCCCCTATCGTCTTTATCCGAGCATCGATAGAAGGATCCTCGACGATCTAATCGAACTTCATTAATTTCAACCCGTTTTCAATACGCGTGCGGCCAATCACGGAACCTTATAATGCTCCCTCCGATGCCGCTGCCTCTTTGCCTAATGTTAGCCCTTTTAAAGAACGTATCATAAATTGCGTAAAGCGAAGGCGCACCGGGTTTTATGCCGGGGTGCCCGAGGCGAACCGTTCCCCTTCTGCTCTCTCGCCTTTCTCTACTCCTCCGTACCACGAAACACGCTCTTACGAGCCGGTCAAATGTAAAATTTCTCCACGATACACAAGAAACGATTGTTTGATTTTTAAGAAGAGTCACAATGACACCAATTAAAAAAAAAAATGATTCTTTTATGAGACGTTCGATAGCTCCTCATGAATATGTAATTAAGCATTGCATTTGCTATGTTTGAGCACCCATTTGCATGCTCAGTCATTTGTGCCAATTTCGAGGAAATTATCTGTCAGAAGAGATTCTCCTGTCGAGTTGCAAATTTCCATTCACACCAGATAGTACCAGACAGTTTGTGCAAATTGCACGAGCTTTGGAAACAATTTCTAAGACTCGTTTCTCGGTTCTGACCGAGTTTCCTTCTTGAAGACCGCCGAGAAGGAAAAGCATCGAAGATATTCGTTTGTCGAAATGTATCGCATATTGGCTGACACACCGTGGCCGTCGCCATCGCCGTCGGAAGTGGTGGTTCGCGTTTTCTGTATCACGCTATATGCAAATGAGACATATGCTCTCGCCGCGGCACATAATAAATTACTCGTGTAGAAATCGCTTGTGTGTAAGGAAGGCCTAAAATTACGTACTGGTCCTCTGGCCAGGAACACACATGGACAAAGGTAAAACAGCACACGTGTGTATTACCTTTGCTTCTCTTACGAGATAATACCTGGCTTTTACCCTCGAAACGTAATCGGCAAACTGTCCTTTCGTCGGTGAACGATGTTTTTTTCTTTTTTCTTAAAAAGCCAACTCATTTTCATTTTTATTGTTATTCGCCTCTGTCCGGGGAGGTAATTGGACGCGAACGGAAGTGCGGTATGAAGATGATGAACGATGTTCTGATGCCCGGACAATATCCGGCTGACTAAGGTCACGGCCTTGTTTGCTCGTTATTACAGCGACGAAGATATTATTTTGGAGGTCGTTTTAAACTACTCGATTAATTCAGAAAATTTGAAAAATCTAAAGAGGATTACTCCTAACACAATGTGACAAAGAATAAATGAGATAAATGAAATCTTTGCACGGTTCGTCTTTTGTTGCTCGTGCTCGATCGTTACGCATTCAGAGAGCTTTCACTCCGCGTGAAATCGACTCCGCGTGTCCTTACGCGAGCGATATCCTGATCCTCGAGCTACCTGATCCGGTCAGTAGATTTGCTTCTCTTATTATCGTGCCACCGTCGTGACTCAGAACGCTTCAGATGTCTCGTTCAAGGATAGGAGGTGCTTTCGTCTTTCCATACATGAACGAAGAAAATCGGCTCCGTAAAGCGGGCAATAACGTTTCAGGAGCGTCTTGAAATCCGCTATTTATGCCAGCACCGAGGAACTTGGCTGTTTACGCGACCGACTAGGGAAAACGAGGAGAAAAAAGAAGAGGAATCGTTTCCTTTTCTCGGGTAAACACGCAGCCGGTTCGCCGACTGAGAAAACCGGGGGGTTGTAAAACAATTTGCCGTACCCTGTGGTAAACAATGGACGATCACGAGGATGGTCGTTCGAAGGACCTTCGAAAAACCTCCCTCTGCCAGACGCGTCCGCAATTCTCCTTTCATAAACCCTTAATTTTACGATGATCATTGCGGCCTCCATCTCTTTCTCGACGATTTTAATCCCGCCAACTATCCCAAATTCGATTTGCCGCCTTAGCCCCGAAACGTGTTTCGGGTCACCGGTTACGGAAAACTGGGTTTTACGATTCCCTGGGACGAGGACGAGCCCGGAAAAAGGGGCGAGTGTTTGCGTGGTCCCCTCTCGGGGCTTTTGCCGTCCAGGTAATTGGATTATAGAAACAGACGAGAAGGAAAGAGAGAAAGATTGCCGACGCGGATGGGGTCTATGTTTACACGTCGATTTTACAGAATATTATCTGTAAATCCAATTTTTTCGAGTTATACCGCCTGCTTTCCACCGACACCGGGGACGAAAATTTTCTCGTAAAAGAGGAAATTCTTGTTTTTATCCCGCTCGTTTCGCTGGCGTAAAATTATAATTCCATTAGGGCTTGGAACGTCTCAATGATGGGTACCGGCAATTAACCGCGGATAGAGCTTTTACAACCGACCGTTCCATCTCCGCAGGCAAACGTTTAGTGGCAAGTTCGAACGATCCTCGATCCTCGTACAATAATTCGTGAATCTTTGTTAAAATCGTTGCGAAAAAAAAGAAAAGAAATCTGGAGCCTCATTTTCAAATCTACGAAGCGACAAATCGCGAAAGACAAATGGAAAAACAAAATTCATCCATTCTTGGATCGGTTCGATACGCGTAACAAACGTCGATTCACGGTTCGTCTTGGCTAACGATCCAGAATGACACGCGAATCGTTTCACGGGGTTCCGTTGACCGGGAAATAGAATAAACACGGATCGATATCCTCGTCGATAGCGCGGCTCGACACACGGCGTGTCTTGCGTATTCCATTAAGCTGGTCGCGTAATCGTGCACTTGTCCCTGGTGCACCATCAATCCTGGCCACGCAATCTCCTCGCAATCGTTGCAAGATTAATACTTCCGTATCTAGGAACGAGCCGTTGAATAAACTCGACGAAGAATACCGACTGAAATTGCGAGTGAAAACGAGCAACCGAGCGGGCCGCTGCCAGAAAAATTGTCATCGTCGTTCAATTACGGTGCAACAGACAGCGCGAGCAGATACTAATATTAGTAGCGTTCGTAGAAGCGTGCTTCTGGAAAGTAGCGTTTCGAGCGTGCTCGACGACTCTGGTACCCATGTTTTTCCTCTTTGAACACTGTTACTCGGCTTATCTGCCGACAAAAGAGCATCGACATTTATTTGAGGACTGATAAGCATTCGAAGGTTCGTTCGACATTCCTGTTCGATTATTTAACCCTTTGGGAACGAGAAAATAATTTAAACGAAAGTTAGATGTGCTTTGCACGCAAGGAGTTGGAAAAGAATAAAGTACCGCGTCTTTTAATGCTGCATCCGTCACAGATGGTTGAAGAGCGGACAAAGATTTCGATACTCCGAAATAATCACGTGCTTTCTGGAGGACCCGGAAGTTCTTCAGAGACCATTGAATAACGTTTACAACTGTCGATATCATCGTTCCATTCTAAAGTGACGATTGTATATCAAGAAACAAGGGATTGCCTGTTTCAGAGAATGAAATCCACTCGAAGAGCTTCAAGGTAAAAGATTCAATTGGAAACAATGAAAGCAAACGTGTCCTGGCGAAAAGGAACCGAATCGCACTACGTCGATCGACGTCCGGAAAGAACATCGATCAAAATTAAGCCCTGCATTCATGGACGGTGTCCAGGTGGGAGTACAAAAGAGCGGTTCTACCATTAATAATAAACCGTCCATTCGATTCTATTAAGGCTCGTTCGGTCAATGTGAAATCTGCACGTGCGAACAAACTCTATCCGACATTGTTTCACGACACGGTGACGTTCACTCGATAAATTTCCATGATAATTTCCCATCCTAAAGATCCTTCGATTCGAAGAACTCACCTTGACTATGCTCGCCGGCGTCGAACGTTTTACTGGTCATTTGAAACAAAGCGTCGAGAGGGCTTCCTTGGCCCGTCGTCCTCTTCCCGTGGTGCCCGCTCTGCGAGCTATGCTGCTGCGACGTTTTCCTCTTGAATTGTTGCTGCTGTTGCTGTTGTTGCTGTTGCAAGGCCGCGTGATGGAGACTGGGATGCATACCGTGATGCAGGCCGTGATGGTGGTGAGCCAGGGGGTCCGGACTTCCGGAATCGGAGACGGAACTTCTGCCGGACGAAGAGGAGCTGCTGAGAGGTGGCTCGCTGATGGAGCCGGACATGGACGCCAGGGACATACCCATCAGAGACAGGTCCCTGGGTGCGGTCGAATGGTTGTGATGATGATGATGATGCAAGTGGTGATGCTGATGATTCGACTGTTGCTGTTGCTGCTGATGAAGATGGTGACGATGATGATGGTGATTTAAGTTCGTCTCGACCGTGTCCCAGGGACGAACGATCTTCGCCTTAGGTCTGTGCGACAGAATGTCGAGAATACTGAAAGACTTGACGCCTCGTTCGTTGCTCTCACGGTCCCTGTCGTCCTCCTCGTCCGAGTGCTGCATCTGCACCATCTTCAAACGTTTCAGAGGTTTGAAATAGTCGTCCGTGGCACCGGCCGCCGATGCACCGTTACTACTGCTTCTGCTGTTCATCTCTTCTTCATCCTCCTCCTCGTCCTCTTCGTCCTCCCTCAACGTGGTAACGGAATCACCACCACTGCTCTCGCGAGCTCTAACACTTCTACCATTCGACGTCCTGAAATCACCGCTTCTCGAGTAGCTGTCCTCGTCGTCGATCATCGAGTCCCTCGGGTAACTTCTTCGAGGGCTCAGTCTGTCCGGGTAATCTTCCCTCGATTGCGACAGTCTTTCGTCCTCTTCCGCGGTAGGGGTGACCACCACGAGGGGTAGAGGACTCGGACAACCGACAGAGATCTCGTCTTCGTCGTCCTGTACATCGCCTCGACCAGGGGAGCCTCTGCAAGGTGTCCGTCGGTGAGCAGGCGAACCCAGGCAGCCCGGCGTCGTCGCGCTGGAGGACACCGTCGTAGACGGTGACATCGTGTACGATTCCGTCATTTCCGTGGTACACATTCCTGAAGAAGGATCTTTAGGCCGGCTTGTCCAACCTCGATCTTCCAAAGCAAGGAAACTGGTGAACAGTTACGGAGCAGTCGAAATTAGTCCATAAGCTCGTCCGATCCTCGCGTTTCACCCATTTACAAATAAACAACGTTCCAACCGTGGATGCTCAGATTATTCGATCACTGTACATGATTTCAGCACTCGGCAGCATCGTAGCACCGTTCTCACTGTACCCTGTTTCGTGATCATCGAAACCCGTCAGAGAGTCTTGGTACCGAATTGTCACGAGGATTCAGCTCAGAGGAGCCGGTACCCTTTGCCTCGACCAACTCATTTCGATTTCACGCGCGATCAAACACTCACCGCCGCTCGACTTTTCCACGCAGTTTTTGCTTTCAACGATGCACCGTCATGGTATTTCCCGCTGATCGCCCGTAGTCATCCTTCCATCCAGTTTCTCTCGCATCACGGAAACCTCTCTCTCAGAACTCCCACTGTTCCCTCCGTCGTTGCGTGCCTGTCATCCTTGGAATGCTTGATCTTCCTCAAACAAAAGGAGCACGAAACCAGTGCCGCGAACACCGAGTTACCACGGCTATGTCCGGAATAGATCCACAACAGGTGTTCAAGAGACTCCTCTCAATCCTGAATCACCACCGTAAGTCATCGTATCCTCTCTATACCGATCGAGTAGTACCCTCGCTCGAGTCTGCTCCGAAACGAACTGTCAAGTTTATATCGTTCGCACCAGAAACCGGATTCACACGCGGGAACGATGCTCGATGTTTACGTTACCGACACTGACGCGGTTGCTCCAAGCGAGCTGATTCGCGAAGGCCGCGATCGACGCGATCATGTCGAACGAAGGAAACGGGAACGAGCGGTCGGTTCGCGGACGAAAACGTCAATACGTGGTGGATGGTAAACGAGCTACGGGTTTTCGAGGCTCGCTATCAGGCCAGTCCAAGCCAGTGACTCGAAATGGTACGGACGGGGACGGGGATCCCGGGCCGGTGTTCCCGCAGGGGCAGTCGCTTCTCTCTCGACCGCCTCGACGCGATCGTAGGAGGGAGCACGAACGTTCCCTATCCCCTACTACGTTTCCTCCAACTTTGCACCACCTCTGTCGATGGGACGAGCTTAGCCGGCTCGTGTATGGGCGGCCTCAGAGATAGCCCTGCCTATCCTAACCCCCACCCAGACAGATTTAACCCAGGCCCCTACGACACGGCAAAATGACGCTGGCTCGATGGAATTTTTACGAGACGTACTTAACGTCCTGTGGCGCTGCTACGAACGGCCCTTTTCGTCCTTCCTCCTTTTCCTTCCTCTCTTTTCCTCCCTCCCCCTGCCTACCCCCTGCTCGCGAGTTCGTCCAGCCGGCTCCGAACGTGGGATTGACCCTCCACGACGAAAACGCTCGCCTAACGAGGCCCACCGTGATTTCATCCCACCCGGACTGCCGATTTCTAAGTTCCGCTCGACCAGGCTACGCTTATCGGGCGGTACTGGCGAAAATTAAAGTCCAGGAATTCGACGAGTCTCTCTTGAACTCCAATCCCATCGCTCCCTCTACTGTTCGCGTGTTTTAGAGTAAATTCAACGGATCGCTTCGATTTTCATTTTCTTTTATATTTGTGGAATTTTATGTTAGATTAGAGTGTTGCGGTTTAGATGTTCCGGTGCAAAACGCTCGTCACAGCTTGTCGTAATAGCTCGGCGATCGTGTTACAATTTCATCTTCCGATTGGAATGTCCATACACGGATGTACGAATAGGAAGATGTCGAGGAAACTTTGTGTTCTGCGGTTCCTTCGATCGCGTTTCATCGACTGATCGGTCGAGATAAGCGGAAGTCACCCGCAGCGTTGGGCGTCGAACATGTTTCCGGAATCGCTGGAAACGGTGGACGTGTAGGACGAACGATCGAGAAAAATCAGCGTCGTTTCCAGCATCGCTGGTCCGGAACGAGTCTAGAAAGGTATCGCGACTATTACACACAGAACATTATCCTCGACCGTTGCCGAGAATCGATTCGGTCGTGTAATCGTAGCAATCTGGTCGACGTCTCGATACGACACGAAAATATCCGTCGAGGAATCGTTCGAAATTGCACCTCTACTCCTCACCGCGAACATCGAATTTTAGTCCTTGTTCCTTCACACTTCGATAGAGAAATTCCCTGTATTTTTCCTACTGCTTCATTCTTCTCTGACATTCTCTCCATCGCGAAGGTTTAAAGTTCGAACAGAGAAAAGGTTTCGCAAGTAGATTTTCATCAAGAATAACCTTTCGGAGCGAAGTTCTCCAAATGCCGTGGATTCGCCAGAGTTTATCCCAAAAGTGGGCCAGTGTACTCTGAAATTCACGCTTCCTTCAGAGTCTAGACTTCAAACATCAACTTCTTCTATAGAACTTGAATACACACGCCAAGTACAATTGTTCATGCAAGAAAAGTGTGTTTTAAAGTTTTTCAGTCTTTCATGGTTGAGATCTCTTGCTCCGGGTAATGGAGCATAAACCGAACGCGATTTTTCTTCAGGGTGTAAACTTGGGATTTCTTTGCAATGTAAACTCTTCAGGCACGAAGAACTGTGTTTCAGAGTTTTTTAATATTCTATCATTGTAATCCCTACGTAATCACCCCGAAGCAGAGTCGTAATAATTTCTTCAAATGAAGCATGAATCCAGCCTGAATTGTTTTAACGCGTGACAATGAGACTCGGTTGGAACAGAATCAACGAAATCTTTTCAAAGTGTTGGTCTCCGGTTTAGCGAATAGAAGGAAGAGCGAGAAAGAAAGTGGACGTAGATGGGAGCAGAGTTAGAGGAGCAAAGGAAAGGTAAGCAAAGAGGAGAGATCGAGCTGGGTCCGTCCGGCCCTTTTTCTTCTCGTCTCTCGGCCTTCCCGTCGGCTTTTCTATCCCGATACAAAGAGGCGCGAGCGAGCCTAATTATTATGATAGCTCGCCACTGGATTCTGTCGGTCCCTTTGATCTACCGCCGTTTAGCATGATCCCCCGATATTTAGGTAGGGCCCATTGTCCTGCGAATGGAAGGGGATCCTCGTGCACCGGGTCGTTATGGTGGGGTTGCTCGGATACTAGAGCGAACGGGCCTTCTCTTCGGGGCCAAGATACGGTAAACTATTCATCAATGAACATTCTTTTTCGAGAAATTTACACTTTTACTCCCGCTTCCTTCTCGTACTCGAGGAATCGTTGCCTCGATCGGCTACCGTGGACCACACGCGTTAGAGAAATCCGTTCTCCGCGTTAACTTTCAGCATTTCCTTCCACAGCTTTCCAGATGTACAATTTTCTCTCTCGGCCGTGTCATTTCGATGAAGAAATAAACGGGCGAGCATCTGGTTGAATAATTTGCGACGGAAGGAATCATCGTTCGACGATGCCTTGGCCAATTCTCAGCTGTAATGGTGGGTTATTTATGCGATAACGGTACGCCAGCTTGCAATCCGTCGAATACGCGTTGAAATCGTTACTCGAAGAATAAATATGTTGGCAGACGCGTTTCGCAATGTTCCCGAGGGTTTCGCATACCAACGGACCCGACTATCCTTCGCGAACGGATTCGTGACATTTTGTGGGAATGTTAGCAGGTCGAGACGGGAATATCGTGCCGTGATTTCAACGGGATATCAAGTGAATTCGAGGCTTTAATGTCATCGAACGAAACGATGAGGCGGTGAACGAACGGGACCAACCCTTTGACTTTCGCAATTCTTCTGGCACGCGATAGGTCGCTTTTCAGCATCGCTGAATCGTATCCAACGCTCATTAATGTCTCGTGCTATTTAATAAGTCGTTAACTGCTTGAAACGAGGCGGCTCTCCGACTACCGATAAAATTACACCTGCACCGACCTACCCGGTGAATTTACCTCGGAAAGCAGCATACGTGTACGCGTAATAAGAGTCCCGTGTAAGGAAAATGGAGGGCTTTGTATTGTACGTATGCGTTTACGCGGTTCTACAACCGCACACAGTGTGTCGTATCTACAGGTAAAGCGACGTGACGAGCACTAATAACTATCCACCACGCCGTCATTCTTATCGAGTTGTTCCATCGAAACCGAGGTTCTCTTTCAACCGATATAATGGACACCTATACTTATGCGGTAATTGCCGCGTGCATCTCGTCGTAATAACGAACCGGTGAACAACTCGCGGCCCACGGATAGAATAACACGCTTGTTTGCCTTCTTACGTCAATACTTCTGTATGGAGTTTCACAGATTTCGACATTAGATTCTCTAATGTCTAATAAATTCAAAGTTTGATCCCTTCGAGTGTCCCCCAAGCTGACGCGTTTCGATATAAATTGAGGATTATAGAGCCTGATTGAATGCCATTAGCGTCGAGATGACTCCAATTAAACGGACTAACTTATATCTTCAATTTCTAAGACTTCATTTCCATAAATTGCATAGAGAACATTGACACTTTGCCAGATTTTTCCTGAATTTTTTAAGCGGCTCTGACTGAAGTTCCAATTCCCTATCTTTCATAAATTACTGTTTCGAAGAAGGTATAATGGTAATACCTATCTTATTACTATGTGTTCTTCCGAAGACTTCGTTTTACTACGACTCTACTTAACGCTAATGATGTCAAACCAGATCGTATAATCCCTACATGTAACGATAATACCGAGTGTGTAATATAATATATAATAAGTAGCAAACCCGTCTGTGATTATTAAACAGGTAGATGTTATAAATAGAAATCGAACACGACTACCATAACTAACATGTGATTTAACTTAAATTTATCTTCTCATAATCTAGGATTAGCTCCAAATGTATACCTATCATAACCAAGTCTGAAGTTTGCCAGGAGCTTCATTAGCATAGCTCGTTAATATTATCACAATAATCCTAAGAAACATGTAGAACCGCTCCGCCAAGGTACTCATTTGCAACTTCGTATCAAATCTTCTCAATTCCCATTGCTACGAAGTTGCTTTGCAATTTTACGCGAATGGAATTGTTCGCTCGATCAATTTCCTATGAATTGCAGATTGAAGCAACACTCGTCTAAAATAAACTACTCTCCTCGTGGTTATGTTAATATCTTTTTTTCCAAGATATACAATCTTGTAATGAGCGTCTCGTTGGTTTAACCATTGATCGAGAGAGTTCGAGGTGGGCTCAATCAAAGATACATGAAACGGGTGCGCACCGTGACGACGCCCGCTAATAATGTGTATACGACGTCTTCTCGGCGTTATCGAGCTGTTCCATCACATTCTGTATCCTTGCACGTTAGACGCGATACGTGTACTTAGCCATAATTGACGAGAGCCGAGGACGAGTCACGCGAAGCCGCTCCGACAGCAGTTTAACGTGGCTGGCGCATGTGCGCTCGGTACGCGCTCGTTCTCTTCGAGCGGTGGGACTTGCTTCTCTTCAGGGTAGGGAGACCATCTATTTTCCCCTTCTACGCGATACTCGCGGCACGTCCGCGATCAGGAGAACCGAAGCGTTGAATTAACCCCACTCGGCCTCGTCGTACAGCCCTCAACACGCCCTCGTCCGTTCTTTCGTCTCTTTCCTTTTCAAGGTTATTCCGCCTGTTCCTGGTACCACCACCCTCGGTGCCGTCGTTCAGCGCCAAGCTGCTTCCGTTCAGTCCACGCCCCTGCTCGAACCTGATTGGCGAACGAGCTGAAACGCGGCGGAACGCTGATCCCCGGGACCGATTTATATCTCCTGCCAGCCAGCCACCCCTCTTCGTGCACTGCACACCACGTTCGCCGAAATTTTTATGTCCACCCGGGGGGTTGCGAGAGCCTCGCCTGGCATCTCACCACCGCCTCCCTCCGCGTATTTTTCTCGTCACCCGACTTCTCCGGCTCCGACAAAATTACGCGCGGTCGGGCTCTGATTTAACGAGCTTTCCTTCGAGACCCGCTGATGGATCTGTCACGCGAAAAGCCCCGACAACCGGGACGAAGAAACGAGGGTCGGGGGTGGAACGAAAATTCCTTGGCTACCGTTCGAAATTGTCAGCGTCGAATTAAAGTACTATCGTACTATCTCCTTGCGTTTCGAAAGCCGAGAGGAACCTGCTACGAGAAGGACACAAAGGAGCCACGAAACTGTTGGAAGATCGCTTTTGTGGCCGATCGAGGTAAATACCTGTGAATGAGCAAAGGTCCTTCGAGGACTGAACAATGGTACACGATAGCCGTGACCAATCGAACAAACGACCGGCCATTGTTAACCCTTGCGAAGGTGTCGGAGCTTTGGAACGTCTCTTATTAGGCACGCGACCCTGACACAACGAAGATGGCTGCTGCGAATCGGATGAGAGACAATAAAGGCAGCCTTTCTGTTCCAATTCTCTTACAGAAGGGTTGATTCCCAGACTTGTTACAGAGAATTCAGACAAGACAAACTTCGTTTTCTAAATTCATGTTCGATATTCTAAGGGAAATTAAATTGATCTAACATCGATCGAGACGAAAGGCAATTCATCGAAGGCTTTCTCTACTTTTCCAATGAATATGCTTCAAGATTGACATCCACTCGATCAAATACTCTTTCTTTAATATCAGAAGTCATTCTAGTGACATGGACAGTGTCCGTTAGACTAACGACACTACGAAGATGGTTGAAACCGATGTTACTACTCTTCCACTCGCTCTTTACTCGCCTGTAGAAAGGGAATTCGTGTTCTATCGACCGTAAGTGATTCGATATAGCTCGAGAACGTCCGAGCCGTCGAAGTAGCTAGGGAGTTGACAAATCGAGCGTCGTCAGTGTCACCGTGAACTCTGTCGAGATTCTTTTCCTCTATCGATCGATACTTCTTATCGCGA